GCCCTCGGTCCCCGTCCTGCCCTCGGTCCCCGTCCTGCCCTCGGTCCTCGTCCTGCCCTCAGCAGTTTCCCCCTGTCTTTAATGAGTTTGGGGTGATCCAGGGCAGCGGGAGGAACTGGGATGATCTGGGGGTGTAGCAGCAACTGGGACAAGTGATCCAGGGCTTCAGGAGGAGTTGGGATGAGCCAGGATGAGCTGGGGCTCTGGGAGGAATCGGGGTGATCCAGGGCTGTGGGAGAAATCGGGGTGATCCGGGGCTGTGGGAGGAATCGGGGTGTCCTGGGGTTGCGGGAGGAACTGGGGTGATCCAGGGCTGTGGAAAGAACCAGGATTGTCTGGGACCGTGGGAGGAATGGGGTGATCCAGGGCTGTGGGAAGATCCAGGATGAGCTGGGACTGCAGGAGGAGTCGGGGTGATTCCAGGGATGTGGGAGGAATTGGACTGAGCAGGGGCTGTGGGAAGAACCAGGATTATCCAGGGCTGTGGGAGGAATTGGGGTGTTCCAGGGCTGTGAGAGGATCCAGGACGAGCTGGGACTGTAGGAGGTGATCCAGTTTTGTGGGAAGGGCTGGGGCGATCCAGGGAGGACCCGGGGTGATCCATCTGCTGCGCCGGGAGTTTCGGGGAGGGGACGGGACGGGCTCTCAACCCGACACAGACCCAGTTTCTGGACCTTTGTTCTTGGCTGTAAAAGTGCTGGAGCAGGGCCGGGACTCTGCGGGGCTGGGAAGTGTCAGAGTGCCAGCTGGGCACTGCCGGTGCCACCAGCCCGGCTCGGGACCCCGAGGGCCCCTGAACCCCCGTCCCCAGCCCCAGGGCTCCAGCTGGTGCCACATGTGCTGGACCGGTGCTGCCGGTTCCCATCCGGCCGTGCCGGCCGTGCCACATTCCTGAGCCCGGCCCCGGCTGCTCCTGCTCCCTGCCAAGGCCAAGCAGGCCCTGCTCCATCCCGGTTTCTGTGTGGCTGCAGGGATCTGGCTCATGGCAGCCGTTTGGGATGCCTGGTGTGGGAGCTGGCGCGTGGCTGAGCCGCCGGTGGGGTCAGGGAGCTGCAGGGAGGTGCTGGAGGGTGCCAGCTCCACGCTGCTTCCCAAATCCCAAACTTGTCCTGTCCCCATGGGAAAATAAACCACCCTCCGTTGCTTGACCTGGCCCCTAAATCTCTGGAACCCCTGATGGGCTCCATCCCAGGTTGGGGGGACCCTGCCCCTCTCCCCCCGCCATGGTGGGAGTGCAACATCAGGAGGATTTGGGGATGAAGGGAGCAATTCCCGCTCATCCCAGAAAGATGCAGGGTACCCAGCCCCTGTGACCCCCACCCTGAGAGCCCACTCCCTCCTCCCCTCCAGGCTGTGGCCATCGTCTGCGGGTTCCTCATCGTCATCCTCCTCTGCCTCATCTGCTTCTTCGCTCACAAGACGCGGAGCAAGATCTGGAAATACGGAAAACCAAACATCTACTGGGACAAGGTGCCGGTGGTCCAGGAGGGTCCCAACGTGGAGGAGTGGGTGAGTCTGAGGTGGGCTGGGGGTCCTGAGAAGGGGGGGGGACTCCCTGTGAGCTTCTTCCCTGCCTGCCCTGTGCCGGACATTCCCAAGGCAGGAGTGGGTCGGGATGTGCCGGGGTGAGCACAGGGAGGGTGTGGGGACCCCAGGGCTGTGTGGGGACCCCTCCCCTTGCCCAGCCTGGCACCCCAGAGCCCAGTCCTGGTGTGTTTGCACACCTCATTATCACACTCGCCGTGTCCCTCCCTGTCACCCCGTGTTTTCCCAGCCTTTGCCATTCCCCGGCACCACCGAGCAAAAACTGGGCAAGCTGGTCTCGAACTCTCTGAAAGGCAAACAGGGTGGGACCCAATGGGCTGGGGGCCAGGGGCTCCCTGCTGGAGTGTTGGCCGGGTCCTGGCCCCTTCGCTGGCCATGGGACAGTGCCCGAAACAGCAGCCAGGGGACACTGCCCGGGGACCTGCCCGGCCACGCCGCGTGGTTTCGGTCTTGGCAATGATTAACTCGGCTCTGCGGGGATGTGCCAGCAGGAAGCCGAGGGATTTACAGCTCCCCTGAGCCTGTGTCCCCGCGAGGGGGATGTTGAGGACCCTCCCCCGGTGCTGGTCCCAGCCTGGCCCGGGGATGTGCCACGTCCTGCCCCGGCTCTGCAGCTCCCTGAGCCTGGGCAGGGTTCGGGAATGCCTGCAGCATCCCGCAGGGAAGGAAGGTTTGGAATGTGCAGAGCGTGGCTTTGGAGGTGCTGCTGTGCTCTGGGTAAGGAGGGGCTGCCCAGGTTCCCCCCGGGGGCTGCCTCCCTGTCCCTGTCCCCATCCCATCCTCATCCCCATCCTTCAATGCAGACTTGGAGTTCTCCAGCCCTGGAAATCGGGGCTGTGCCCTGTGTGTCCCTCCACCTCGCTCCATGTTTCGCCCCACACCTTGTTCCACGTGTCCCCTTGTGTCCCCCCGTGTCCCCACATCTTGCTTCTCATGTCCCCCCACGTTGTGTTCCATGTCTGTGTCCCCCCATGTCTTTCTCTCTGTCCCTCATGTCCCCACTCCTCTCTCCCTGTCCCCACACCTTTCTCCAGGTGTTCCTCATGTCCCCATTCCTCTCTGCCATGTCCCCACTCCTCTCTGCCATGTCCCCACTCCTCTCTCCCGTGTCCCCAGGCCTCACCCTCGCCTGCAAGTCCAATATTTATTTTTCATTTCGCAGAAATCCCTTTGTTGGGGTTTTATTTATTTGCTTAAAGTCCCTCCCTTGCAAAGCATTTCCTGCCCCTCTGGGACACAGGGCCCCACTCCCCGGGGTCCCCTGGGGGGTCCTTCTTGGCTTGGTGACGCTGTGGAGTCACCCCCCCTCGGTGGGGGGGAGGTTTTGGGGTGTGATTCCCTCCTGGGACGTCCTGTTCCCGTTTTATGGGACCGAGATAACGGGGTGACCTTCGAGCGGGCGGGAGCCACTGAGCCACCCCGCTGCCGTCCCGGGGACACAGCTGTCCCCACACCACTGGCCCTGTCACCCCAATTAGCCGCGGCTTCGTTAGTGGGGGGGGGAAGGTGCCGTCGGAAGCGGCGTGACCGGCCGGATGTCCCCAGGGCCCCCATCCCGGCAGGGACCGGCTTCCGGCACAAACAGCCCACAAAGGCCAGGAAGGAAGCGGGAGGGGGGACAGACGGACGCCCCGCGTCCTCCTGGAGGAGCCCCGGCCGTGCCAAGGGGGTGATGGGGGGTCCAGGGTGGGGAAGCGCTGGATAAGGGGCCAGAAACCCCCCCCAAAGCCTGGGAGGTGTCACCCTGGGGGTGTCAGAGCCCCCTGAGCTGTGTTGGTGTGTTCTTGTCCCCCAGTGGGACCCCCACCACTGTCTCATGGGGACTCTGAGATCTCTGGGTCCTTCTCCAGCCTTCCCCTCCCCAAATGCTGTGTTGCCCACCCAGGGGGGCCTCCCCTCGTTCCTTTTTCCCCCACAGCCACGTGGGACACCCCAGTGCAGCTCTGCCAGGGCTCATTCCTGGATTCTGGTGGGGGGGGTTGGGGTTCTTCTGACTGTCCTGTGTCCCCACTGGTCCCGGGACTGCCCCCCGACAAGGTCCCACAACCACTGGTGGGGTTTGGGGGGTATCTGGGAGTCAGTCCTTTGTCAGTCACTGGATCTGCCCCTCAAAAAGCTCCTGCAGCAGCTGGTGGGGTTTTAGGGGTCCCTGGAGAGTTTGGGGGCCCCGAGGGGGCCAACAACCCCTCTCCATCGTGGATTTGCCGCACGGGGCAGGCACTGGTGTCCCCTTTGTCCCTGTGTCCCTACCGTGCCCTGCTGGGGGGGCTGGGGAGTGTCCCCCCCCCGAGCCCGGACCCCCCTGACCCCTGTCCCCTCTGCAGGTGAAGAACGTGACAGACGGGGCCAGCGCCCAGGACGAGACGGCCACTCTGGCCTACTCGGAGAAGCCCACGAGCCCCATCACTGCACCCCCCTACAGCCCCCCCTCCTACAGCCCCCCCCCGAACGGCTTCTACCCCTCGGGCACCTACAGCACCCGCGGGTGAGTGTGGGCAGGGCTGGGGGGGGTCGGGGGTACATCCCCTCTGTGACACCCCGTGTCCCCTGCAGGGACCCCTGGAGATCAGGGAGGGGGGTCTAGGGGGTCCATCCCCTCCGTGACACCCTGGTGTCCCTGCAGTGACCCCCCCAGAGCAGGAGCCAAGGGAGGGTGGGTCTAGAGGGTACATCCCCTCTGTGACACCCCTGTGCCCCTACCCCCTGGAGCAGGAGCCCACAGAAAGTGCAGGGAGGGGGGTCTGAGTGTTTGTCCCCTCGGTGACACCCCCATGTCCCTGCAGGGACCCCCCGGAGCAGGAGCCAAGGGAGGGTGCGGGAAGGGGGTCTGGGTGTCCATCCCCTCCATGACCCCACTGTGTCCCCCACAATGACCCCCTGGAGCAGAAGCCAAGGGAAGGGGGTCTGGGTGTCCGTCCCCCCTGTGACCCCACCATGTGCCCCGCAGGGACCCCCCAGAGCAGGAGCCAAGGGAAGGTGAGGGAAGGGGGGTCTGGATGTTTGTCCCCTCGGTGACACCCCCATGTCCCTGCAGTGACCCCCTGGAGCAGGAACCAAGGGAGGGGGGTCTGGGTGTCCATCCCCTCCATGACCCCGCCGTGTCCCCCGCAGTGACCCCCCGGAGCCGGAGCCGAGCCCTGTGGAGGGGAAGGGGCGGGAGCAGCCCCCCAACCCCAAGCCCCCCGCCCGCCGCGGGCGCCGGCGCCGCCGGAACCCGGAGCTGGACGAGTCCCAGTACGAGACCGATTACACCACGGCCGTGGAGTCCGGGGACGAGCGGGACCGCGACCAGTGGGCCAGGTGAGCTGGGGACCCCCCGGAGCACCCCCCTGGAGCTGGAGCTGCCCTTGGGGGGGACTCACTGTGCCCCCCTTCTCCCCCACCCCCAGCCTGTACCCCCCGATCTCCTCGGACGCCACGCGGCAGAGGTACAAGCAGGAGTTCGACTCGGACCTGAGGCGCTACAAGGAGCTCTGTGCCCACATGGACGCCGTCAACGACCGCCTGGGCCAGCTGGGGAAGCAGCTGGACAGTGTCCCCGAGGACAGCCCCCAGTACCAGGTGGGAGCCGTGGGAGCGCTGGCACACGGTGGGGTGGTGGGGGAGCCTTGGGAATGCTGCAGGGCAGCAGGGGTGGGTGTTGTGGGGGGTACGGGATGCTGGAGTGTTGGGGATGGATGCTGGGGATCTGGGATGGGTGTTGGGGAGGGTATAGAATGCTAGAGGGTGTTGGGGATGGATGTTGAGGAGCTGGGATGGGTGTGTGGGGGGGTATGGGATGCTGGAAAGTGTTGGGGATGGATGTTGAAGAGCTGGGATGGGTGTTGTGGAGGGTATGGAATGCTGGAGTGTTGGGGATGGATGCTGAGGATCTGGGATGGGTGTTGTGAAGGGTATGAAATGCTGGAGGGTGTTGGAGATGGATGTTGAGGAGCTGGGATGGGTGTTGTGGAGGATACGGGATGCTGCAGGGTGTTGGGGATGGATGTTGGGGATTTGGGATGGGTGTTGTGGAGGGTACGGGATGCTGGAGTGTTGGAGATGGATGCTGGGGAGCTGGGATGGGTGTTGGGGAGGGTATGGAATGCTGGAAGGTGTTGAGGATGGATGCTGGGCATCTGGGATGGGTGTTGTGGGGGGTATGGAATGCTGGAGAGCATTGGGGATGGATGTTGGAGATCTGGGATGGGTGTTGTGGGGGGTATGGGATGCTTCAGGATGCTGAGGATGGATTTTGGAATGGTGCATGGCATCAGAGAATGGATGTCGTGGAGAATTTGGGATGCTTCAGGATGCTGGGGATGCATGTCGTGGGGCCTTGGGAGGCCACGGGGCACCAGGGATGGACGTGGGGGATCTGGGGCATTGCAGGGCAGTGGGGATGATTTTTGTGGAGGATCTGGGATGCTGCAGGATACTGGGGATGGATGCTGGGGAGCTGGGATGGGTGGTCAGGAGGTCCTGGGATGCTGCAGGGTGCTGGGGATGGATGCTGAGGATCTGGGATGGATGCTTTGGAGCTCTGGGATGCTGCAGGGCACCAGAGGTGGATGTCAGGGAGCCTTGGGACGCCTCCGGGCGCTGGGGGTGGACGCTGGGGAGGATTTGGGATGGATGCTGCGGAACCTCAGGATGCTGCAGGACACCAGGGGCAGCACTTTTGCCCCCCTGGGGTGCTCCCCAAGCTGTGCCCCCCTCGTGACCCCCCTGTGACCCCCTCCTGCCCTTCCCTCCGCAGGACCTGGCCGAGGAGTACAACAGGCTCAAGGACCAGAAGAGGGTGAGTCGTGGGGGTGTGACACAGCTGTGGGGGGGGTTACCTGCCTCCCTGTGCCCCCCACCCCTGATGCCAGTGCCCTGCTGCCTTTCAGAGCCCCGACTACCAGAGCAAGAAGCTGGAGACCAAAACCCTGCGCAACAAACTCTTCCACATCAAGCGGATGGTGAGCGACTACGACAAGGTCCGGGGGTGACCTGAGCCCCCCCCCAAGGAAAGAGGGGCACGGGGGGTGGGCCCTGTGCTCCCCCACACCCTCCTCTGCAAAGACTTTGGGGCATTTTGTGCCTTTTGTTGTACTAAAATCCCCCCCAAAACCGCCTCGGTGCCAAGGCTGGGGGGCTGGAGGCAGCTGCTGGTGTGACCCCCCCCCCCGAACCCTCCCCAGTGTCCCCCCCACCCTGAGTACCCCCCAAGTGCCTTCCCATCCTGTGGGGGTCCCCTCCCACTCCTGTAAGTATGTTTTTTTGGGGGGTCTGTACCCCCCCTGGGTGCCTTCACAGGGGTTGGGGTACCAAACTGGGGGGGGGGCAGAGAAAGCCTTGGTCTCGGGGCCCCCCCCCGGGGGTTTGGGGTGGGGGGGAAGAACCCCTTTGGGGACCCCCCCCCGGTGATATTTTATAAGGAACTCTTTGAAACTGTGTAATATTTCAATTTTTTTTTTAAATAAATGAAGTGTATCTATTGATTTTAAATTGGGGTCGGTGTGAAAGGGGCTTGGGGGGGGGGGAGAGTGACCCTCAGAGGGGGGAGTCCCCCAAACCACCCCACCTTGTAAGAGGGAACCCCAACCCCCTCCACCTTGGAGGGGGACCCCAACCCCCTCCCAAAAGCCCCAATCCCAACCTCTGGGCTGACTCCTCCCCTCCCTCCTGCTGATCCAGCTCTGCCTCAGCAGGATTTATTCCCAAGGGACCCCCCCCCTCCCACCCCATGTTAAATACCATCACCCAGGAGCCCCCCCTCAAATCCCCAGATTACCCATAAAACACCCAATTTTAGGTATTTTACAGGGGGTTCATTTTTTGGGGGGGCAGGGATCACATCCCCCCACTTGGCTCCATCCCCCCGGGGTGGGTGATGAGCCCCCTCCCCCCAAACCCCTGCTCACACCAGACCCCCGGGGCTGTAAGAAACATCTTTTATTGACTTAATTCATTTGTTTAGTATCATTGAACAAGGATTATATTTTCAGTGAATCAACCTAAATGCCAAATCCCGGCTAATCCTGATGCCGTCTGTCACACCGAGAGGGGGAGGGACCCCCCTGATCCCTCCTGGCTGGCTCTGCCCTCCCCCCCTGCTTCCATGTGCCCCCTCCAGCCCTGGGGACACCCCCCCAGCAGCATCACCCCTTTCCAGCCTGATTTTGGTCCCCCAAAATCTCCTTTCTCGCCCAAATGTGGCTTAAAAAAAAACCCCAGGGAGGCACAGGACCGTGGGAGGGGGGGGCTGCTGGTACTCACCCCCCTGCTGTGGGGGGGGGTGGGGGGTGCTGGATTTGGCCTGAGGGGGGGGAAAAGCAGGAATGAGCCCAGGGGGAAGGGTTGGGTGCTGTTCACACCCCAAAAAGCCCCCCAGCCCCTCCCCTGCGACCCCCATTCTGTCCCCGTGTCCTCCCGGTGCCCCCACGCCGGGGATGCTTCAGTGGAAGGTGGGATCAGCCCCAAAAAGGGGCCGCTCCAAGCTCAGCACATCAGTCCTCGAGGCTGGATCCGGCCTGGGGGGCACAAAGGGGTTCTAAAATGACCCTTTTTTCCACGATTCCCAGGACTGGAGCCGGGGTGGGGGGACAGAGCCAGGGGTCCCAGCCTGGCTGGTCCCATCTCCCACCACCTCCCGCCTGAGCCTTCCGACATCTGAAATCCAGATTTGGAGGAGCGAAGGGGGTGGGATCCCCCTTCCCCGGGGCTCCACCGCAGAGGCAGAGGGAGGGACCAGCCCTGGGGTTGCTCCGAGGTCCCTTGGGATGCTCCGAGTTCCACAGGGGGGAGAGGAACCAGCCCTGGGGGGGGGACCAGGGTGGGGCCGGGGAGCTCCACGGGGTCCAGAACAGTCCGGGGTGTCCAACGGCGGCGACACGGGGAGTACCTTCGGATTCAGGGGGACAACGCCACGCTCCCGCTGCTCCTGGGGGACACCATCGTGACCCCACAGCTCCTGCGGGGAGCAGACCCCCCCTCCTGTGGCAGACAGAGCTCCGAGGCCGAGGGCCAGCACAGTTACACCACGGGAATGAATCCACGTCCAACTGCCGGGAAGGGGGGTGGTCCCGGGACGTCCCCCCCCTCCGTGCGCTCCGTCCCTACTGCCCCGTCCCGTAGGGCCAGTTGAAGGTGCTCCCGGACAGCAGCATGTCCCTGATTAGTGTCTCGATGGGCGTCTTGCCCACGAGCCTCATGAAGAAGAGCTGGGAGATGAGGGCGGCGGGCACGGCCCGGAGCGCCGGCAGCCGCAGGAGCAGCCGCCCGAAGCGCTGCGGCTGCGACGGGTACTGGGAGCGCACGTACTCCGTCAGGGCCACCTGAGCCTTCTCCTGCAGCCCCTCCACGTGCGCCGGGTCCGACAGCCCGCAGGCGTCTGCAAGACAAACGGGGAACAACCCAGTTGGAGACGCCCCCGGGGAGCAGCACCCCTCCAAATTCCCACCCGGCGTGGTGGTGGTGCCGGCAAGGACCGGGCGACTCCACGGCTTGGGATGGGCATGGGTGAGACCCTCACGGTTTTCCAGGGGGTATCTGTGTTCCTGCAGGGAACGCTCGTCCCTGCACCCAGATGGACACGCCGGGATGACAAAAACCACGGCGAAGTGCCAGGGAATGAGGACCCTCTGCCTCCTCTGGATGAACCCCGGAGCCCAACGCCGCTGCTGCAGCGTGGGATGGGCACGGAGGGACCAAGGGATGGGGCTCCCCAAGGTCCCCCTCCGTTTCCCTGAGGGTATCTGTTCCTACAGATCTGTTCTGTTCCTACAGATCTGTTCTGTTCCTACCACCCTCGGGAGGCTCATCCCTGTATCCAGAGAAACCCAGGATGCAACACACCACAGGGGGAAAGCATCAGGGAACAAGGACTCTCTGCCATCTCTGGATGTTCCCTGGACCCCAAAACCACCTCTGTGGCACAGGATGGACCAAGGGATGAGGCTCCCACCTCCCTGTTTTCCAGGGGGGGTATTTGCGCTCCTGCAGATCCCATTCCCGTCACCCCAGGAAGCTCATCCCCGCATCCAGACGGACACGCTGGGACGGTGAAGCGCCAGGTTAAGGAGGGCCCTCTGCCCTCTGTAGACACTCCCCGGACCCCAAACCCCCAGGAAAACAGCAGACACCCCCTCCCTGGTCCCTCCCACCCCTGGCTCGGCCCAAACCCGCCCGTACCGGGCGTGAAGAGCGCGATGGCTTTGAGGCAGCTGTACTCGGCCGAGTCCACCTGGAGCCGGTTGAGCTTCTCCACCTGGTCCTGGAAGATGCGGATCTGGTCCATGAAGGAGACGACGCGGTCGGCGGACATGGGCGAGGCGTGGAAGCCGGCGGCCGCCAGCAGCGGGGCCATGTGGAGCGGCAGCGCCGACTGCGCCGCGTTCAGCACGAACAGCTCGCTCCAGCTGAGCCGCAGCAGCGCCACTTGGTCGGACACGGGCAGCTCGGGGAAGAAGGGGATGTTGCGGGCCCACTCCACGGTGCTGAAGAGCAGGCGGGCGGCCAGCTCGCAGATGTTGTCGATGCCCATCACGCTGCCCTGCTGCGCGTACTGGGAGCCGTAGCGGGCGGCCGGGTAGGGCTCAGCCCGCAGCAGCTGCGAGATGAGCTCCGACACGGGCTGCCCGTTGAAGTATTCCCCGCTGGGGATGGTGTTGGGGCTGGCGCTGGAGTGGCTCGGGGGGATCCGGCCCCGCTGCACGGCTGCGGGGC